GTCTTAAAGGTGCCACTGGACTCTTTTGGATTGCAGGGGATGTGCAGATATGCCCTCACAGAGGAGGGAGAGCTTGTACCGGAATAAACCTTTGTCTTAAAGGTGCCACTGGACTCTTTTGGATTGCAGGGGATGTGCAGATATGCCCTCACAGAGGAGGGAGAGCTTGTACCGGAATAAACCTTTGTCTTAAAGGTGCCACTGGACTCTTTTGGATTGCTAGCTATGGGAGGGGATGCGCAGATCTGCCCTCACAGCGGAGGGAGAGCTTGTACCTGAAGGTGGGGGGGGGCCTCTGCAACTTACCTGGCTGCTTCTTGCTCCTCGTGGCCCAACTGAGGGCTGCAGGGGGCGGGGCTTGTTGCATGTGCCCGCCCCCTGGGCTCCTTACTGCCAGAGCTCCGCTCTTGTGTGCTCCCGCAGGAAATGACCCCTGGTGGTATGGCAGCCCTAAGGAGTACAGGGGAGAATCAAGGCTGCAGTGTTCCCTCTAAGCTGAGTTGGCGTGAGCCAGCTCACAGTTTCTTAGCCTCCAGCTCACAGATTTTTGCCCTCGCTCAGGGAGGAGGGCTCCAGGGCAAACTAACTTATGCAGTAGCCAAATTGCTTGCTCATAACGTCAATACTAGTAGCTCGCAAAGTAGAATTTTTGCTGACAAGACTCCACAGTTTAGAGAAGGAGCATAGCTGTTGATATCAGTCTCATATTGTATACTGGGGGGGGGGAGTGGAGACTTGGAACGAGGATTCTTTTGTTTTCTTCTCAGTACTGGAAGCTTAAGTGGTTTGTAGTAGGTGGACAAAGGAGCCTGAAGTGTCTGAGGTTCCTTGTGTGAAGTGCCTCCTAGGACTTGCAATGGGGAGGCCTCCAAGGTTCTGGTTGTTGAGAAAATCTGATATCTCCCCTACATTCAATGGACATACTTTGAACCTATTTATTTATTTATTACTTTCAATTTATGTCCCACCTGGCCGGGGAAATGGCAGCCAAGAAGTCCAGCAGTGGTTCTGTGGCCTGATCCATATGTCATCCTGCTGGTATGCTGCGGCTTGGGTAGCATCTCAGATGACGGGTTGTAGTTTATGGAGGATTAGTTGTAGACTACATATTTTGCATGTGGGGATGCTGCTGCTGCTATGGGAAAGCTGGTATTTGGAATTGTTTTAGAGAGCAGCTGGGTAAACTGGTGCTTCGCTGTGGAAAAGCATCTCTTGGTATGTGGCCACCTAAGAGCCCAGCTGGTGTCCCAGGTTTCTTCTGTGTTGAGTGTCATGGTGCAAATTCTATTCCCAGGAGAAATCAAGCAAGCATTAAAGCTCATGGCGCAGCCCTTGTTTTGTTTTTGAGCTACACAAGTCTCCCGTGGACACACTCTACGGATAATCAGACCTAGAAAGTAATGCTAACCTTGCTAGTTTCTGCAGGGCCCAAAATATGTCCACGCTGGAGGCCCATACAGGGGTTTCTTAGCTATTACGTATTACATTAGCTATTGGGATGGAATGCAAGCCCTCAGGGATACAAACCTGAACAGGCACACATACCATCCTCTATTGAAGGAGACATTTATTGAGAGCCAATGTGATGGAGTATCTGAAATGTTGGGCTAGGCCTGGAAAGACGATGAAAGCTCCCTCCCTCAGCTGAACCTACCTCAGGGTTGCTGTGAGGGTAAAATGGAGGAAGGGAAGAACCATGTGCACCAGGCCGATCACCTAGGGAGAAGGGTGGGATAAAAATGTGATAGTCAGAAAGTCTGACCAGTGTTTAGAATTTGTTCTGCTTATATTTGCACATATTGTGATGCAGTTTTTTCACTGCACACCAGGTTTTTCTATAGACATGGCCCCCTGCTGTGCAGTCTGTGGCTATATTTGTTTCTTGATCAAGTCATTATTCTGTGTGCGTGTCCGTTCCCATTTTATGAAAGCATTTCAGTCGGTGGTGGTTGTTTTTCAAAGATCCTGTTAGAAACAAGGTCAATGGATCTTTCCTGGTGGCACTGCTTTTGTTTAAGACCATCATAGTCATCACAGTAATTATGACTCCTTGATTGTATCCAAATCCTTTCCTATGTGTCCATTAAGTTCTTGGGAACTGAAACCAGGCACATGCCTTAAAATAAAGGCAACCCAGTCATTCCCTTATTATGGCACTTGGTAGAAGACCTGGATTGTCTGCTAGAGGCTTGCATGGGAGACTACTACAGCTCCTTCTCACATTATCGTCCTGTCCTTTCCTGCTCCCAGACTTTCTTCCCTTGAAATGTGATGCTTGCGGGGAGCTATTCTGTACCAACCATGTTGCCTATGCCCATCACAACTGCACTTCAGCTTACAAAAAGGTAAGTGAAACTGAAACGGGCAGAATTTGGGCTGGGTGCTTGGGTTACACTGGAATACGTCCAGCATTCAGGAAATACATCGTTCCCATTCTGTCCAAAGAGCAAAAGGCTAGAATTACCTTGCTTTGGAGGAAACTGTTTGCCTGCAGCCTTATGGAAGGCTAGCAAGATGGGAGGCTAGACCTTTAGTTGCTAAATAGGGCCAGCTGAGGAGTTTGTGGTCTTTGTGATAACCACGGGTCTCTCCCAGGCGACAAGTAGCCCATGAGATGGTACACGCTTTGCCAGTGGTCTGAAGCAGTCACTATTGACATGAGTTTGGATCCCACCCCAAATTACTGACTTTCTCCCCGACAGCATCCCACAGTGCCCCCTGAAATGCTGCCATGAAGGGGGAGTCAGAAGCCTGCAGTGGGAGAGGAGAATTGGTGAAAACCACCCTAACACGCAGTAGTCGGAATTGTTAAGTGGGATCCAACATATGGTGAGGAGAGGCTATATAGTTCCGTGGTGGAGCATCTTGTTTGGTATACAAGCTCCCAGAGTCAATCCATGGCTTCTCCAGTTAAAGACTGGGTAACAAGTGATGCTAAAGATCTCTGCCAAAGACCCAGGAGAGCTGCTGCCAGTCAGTGTGGACACTAGGCTAGATGGACCAGATGTGGCAGCTTCACATATAATTAAAATTATTACCTTTTGAAGGCCATCCTGTGGTCTCTAGGTTGGTCTCCTGTTTGAGACTCATGGAGGCAATTAGATCCAAGAACTTTTTTGATGGACCTTGATGACTATGTTTTCTTAATGGCTTGCTTAACCTGCGGAAGTAGCAGGTTTGTCCAACTATTGGCAAGTGGTTCCCAAGTACCCTTGCTCACTGCCTTGAAGGCTATGCCTAGGTGGTGATTGCTGTAAAGAAATGCTTCGCAGCCACCACTGTATCTGAAAGAACCATGTGGTGGAACTGCTAACAGGTGAAGACCAGCCGGAGAACCCAGAAACTTTTCAGCTGGAGGCTGAATCACTGTCTGCCTGCCATGATAATTTGCCACCTACTTTGCTAGCAAAGTAGCTCATGTTTTACTTAGTATCCAAGCAATGAATTTGAGTACTGAAATAGTTTGAGGTGATAAAACCTCAATCTCGGGCTGTTTATTTGAACAAATTTCAAAGGAGTAATCCTGGTATAGATTCAGCAGACATTTCCTACTTTGCGAAAAACCAGTCAGGTTTGGTGTAACTCTCCAGTTACAGGCAAATTAAAAGCAGGAAGCCAAATAAAACTTGACTTCAGTACCAGAACCACCCAAGACAACCTGGATAGGTTTGACTTGAAGTTCATCAGTATTGCCAATTAATATAGAGATGTATCATTGTGGGCATGAGAGCAAGTCATTTGCAAACTTGATCCATGGCCACTGTAGCTGGTGAAAAGTGTTCAGAAAAAAACAGCATCCAGTTGCTGGTTAGAAGAAAATATTGTCAGGTTACATTATGTCTGTAATGGTCCATCTCCTCCACAGAAAATCTAATCCCCCTAATTCCCAAGCCAGTCACTGTCCTTTCTGCAGCTTCTCTGTTTGGTGAACAGGATTGGGAATGTGGCTGCTTTGCTATGCCCCTAGCTGTTGGGAGTTCCTGGCCACCCACCAAGGTGTTACCTTGAATGTGAAATTGCCGTTGCCTCGAATGTTAATCTCTGCCTGGAAATCAATTGGGGACATTGTGCCTTATTGTCCTTTACTGTTTATTGTAAGGTGTTGGTTCCTAGTCCCCTTTCACAAGGGTCTTTTTTCCTACCTCTGACTTGGTGTTTGAGACCTTTGAAGCAGAACATCTAAAGACTTGGGCTTTGGTGCCATCTCTACACCCTTTCCTTCCTGTCTGACACAGGCCTTGTGACCTCTTTGCTTGGTTCAGTACTGAGCTACGGCTGAGGACTGGAAGTCAGGCAGATAATAGAAGTTGAATCCTGGTGAGAATGATGGCAAGACCAGCTTAGCTTAGCTGATTTTTTTTTAAGCCAAGCATAAGATTACTTGGAGCAAAGTAGACCTAAAATAAGAAAAATGGTTATTAACTCCTTAATTTTATCTATCAGCGACACAAAAGAATGGTGTGCACAGGCTTTTTCAGTAAGCTGTTGTAAAACTTTGGAACTCACTTCCCTCTGAGGCTTCTCAAAATCAGAGCTTGAGCATATTCTGTAAGACTTCATTTTGGGGTTGATTGTTTGGGAGCAACTTAGCTCACTAGGCTACTGTATACTAAATGGATGAAAAGGCTGCCCCTTGAGCATCAGCTTAACCTCTGTTCTGTGCCCAGGATGTGCAGGTCCCTGTGTGCCCACTCTGCAGCACGCCCATTCCTGTGAAGCGTGGAGAGATGCCTGATATTGTGGTGGGTGCACACATAGACCAGGACTGCAAATCGGACCCAGCACAGCGTAAGCGCAAGGTAGGAAGTAACTGCCTGTGGTGGGGCTTTGCTTTGAGCCCACCAGAATCAGGTGCGTCCAAAGCCTGAGTCACCTGCCCAGATGAGGTTCCTCCTGTTGAGTGAGGGCAGTTGGTTGCTTGCAGCCAAACCCCAGTGGGCTTTGGAACATGTCTCATGAACAGTGCACAGCATGGCCTCAATCCAGGTGATGAGGGGTCCCATCAGTGGTACTGTGGCAGAGGCGTGATCAGCCAAAAACTGTGGGCATTGAAAAAACTGTGACAGCAGGAGAGAGTTTTGTGACAAGACTGAGGTGTGTCAGCAGAGTTCTCTGAGGCTAAAAAATCCTGTTTGTTGCCTAAGAGCTGGATTAGAACCAAGTGGGTTCAAAGTGCCAGATTTTTTTATAACATTTTTTATTTTTACAACAAACACATCAAACAAACAAAAAAGACATAAAACGGGGGTTACAAAGAGTTTCCAGTTATATCTGTTACAATACCTCCTACCTTATAATAAATGTATAAATCGTTTTCATTCACCATGTATTCATATCCATGTTTGCTCCATTATATTTAAAACTAAATTCTAGAATATCTCAGATACAATATTGTAAGACTTAACTGTTCATTTATTGTATTATTCCAGCCATTTATAAAATCTTGTCCATGTATTCTGAAGTCTCCCTTCTTCTTGCCCTCTCAAAAATAAAGTCAGTTTATCGATCTCAGCAGTTTCAAGAGTTTTGTCTAACATTTCCTCTTTTGAGGGTATTTCATCTTTCCTCCAGTATTTAAAGTGCAAGATCAAGAGTGTTATTCAAGGGCCGCCATCTTCCCATCCCTTTGGGCCGAGGGGCTTCCTGGGTGCAAGGCAGGCAGGAGCTTCTTGTTTCTAGGCTCTTCATCAGCCATAACTGCATCTGTCTACCTAGATCTTCACCAACAAGTGTCAGCGGCCTGGCTGCAAGCAGCGGGAGATGATGAAGGTTGTTTGTGACCAGTGTCACGGCAACTTCTGCCTCAAGCACCGACACCCACTGGATCATGACTGCAGTGGGGCTGGGCACCCGCTCTCCAAGGCAGGGTAAAGGTGGAACGGGGGGTGTCCTGGGTAAACGGTGTGTGGGTGGCTGCGCATCTGTGCTGGATCTGTGAGTGCAGTCTTGGTGCACATCTTACCGTCTTCTCCACCCTTGATTGTTGATCTATGAAAGTATTTTGGGATTGGTATGCGAAGCATGTTCTTCCTCTGATGTTGTGAACATCCTTGGCACTTGCTCAGCTGGCTGCATCTACAGCTGAGATTAGCTGAGAGTGACAGGCCCAGAAGCAGCACTGGTGTTGCTGAGAGCTGTTTCCGTGAAAGGTGATGGCAGGGAAGGGTTTGGTGCCGTAATGAGCATGCTGTTGTCCCTACTTAGTTACTGTGCTTCCTTCTGCAGGCACGCGGCCATTGGCAGAGCGCAAAAGTCAACCAAAGCATCTGCATGCACTCCGTCCAGCAGTGGGGCCAAGAGGTCTGTTGCATGTCCACCAACCCCCAGCAGGTATCAAAACAACCACTTTTCCCTGTTCTGTCTTCCTGAACATAAGAAGAGCCCTGCTGGATCAGACCAGTGGTCCAGCATCCCATTTCACACAGTTACCCTGAGACAGCCAACAAGCAGGGCACAGAGGCCAGTGCCTTCCCTAGGTTCTTCTTTTAGTTATAGCCTATAGTACTCGTGGAGCTGCGGTGGCTCAAGTGGTTAAGACGCTGAACTGCAGGCTGTGGAAGGTCGGTAGTTCAGCAGTTCGAGACCCGAGTGTGCCGCATGACGGAGTGAGCTCCCGTCTCTGGTTCCAGCTCCTGCCAACCTAGCAGTTCGAAAGCAAGACATTGCAAGTAGATAAATAGGTACCGCTTCAGTGGGAAGGGAACAGCGTTCTGTGCGCCTTGGTGTTTAGTCATGCCAGCCACATGACCACAGAAACATCTTCGGACAGCGCTGGCTCTTTGGCTTTGAAACGGAGATGAGCAGCACAACCCTAGAGTCGGACTCGACTGGCTTTCGAGCAAGGGAAACCTTTACCTTTACCTATACTACTCTCAGGAGATACCATAGCATTAATGATCCCTGTCATTTCCCTCCCCTAATGTTTGGCTATGGCCTATCTAACAATGACTTACCATGGCGCGGGTGTGTGTGTTTCCATTCAGACCAGCCTTCTTCCTGTTTGACGTTGCTTTCTGCCACGTCGGGCCACTCATTCCAGTGAGTTCCCAGCCCACTTGGTGTGTGCATGATTTGCACTGATTTGACCCCTTTTCTCTCCTTTGCATGCAGAGCCAGTGAGATGGTAAGAGCCCCCCAGCCCCAAAGGATATCTCCTCCATCTGTTGCCCTACAGAACGGACTGGTGAGTGGTGGTCCACAAGCTGGACACTCAGACTCAAAGTTACTCCTCTCTCAATATGTTGTTGGCACTGGAGAGCATCCTCCATACACATGCATACCACTCCCCTTCAGAATGGGTAGTTGTGTCCCATGTAAGAATATAGTGGCTGCTTTAAAAAGATACAAAACAAAACACACCCCAGCTCCAAATTGTTTAGAACCTTGGGGGGGGGGGGGAAATCAGAATATGGAATGGAAGCTACAAGGAACAAGAATTAGCAAAGATGCATATTTTGTGGCTTAAAATAGCAACTTGAAAAGCAAAATGTATTCTCCAAGTCCACTGTGGTCCTGCTACCACCAAAGATAACCATTATAAGAATTTGATTCAAACCAGAATTCAAAAGGAAAAGAAACAGATTTGTCAGCTTCCAGAAAGAATTTGGGTAAAGAGGAATTGTGCGTATTTCTCCTGACTACACTAACGAGGGTATGTTCTGCTGTGTTGGCTCAGAGAGTAAGACACTGAACTGCAGACCAGAAGGTCTGTAGTTCGGCAGTTCGAGACCCAAGTGTCACATGACGGAGTGAGCTCCCATCTCTGGCCCCAGCTCCTGCCAACCTAGCAATTCGAAAGCAAGAAATTGCAAGTAGATAAATAGGTCCCGCTTCGGTGGGAAGATAACAGCGTTCTGTGCGCCTCGGCATTTAGTCATGCCAGCCACATGACCATGGAGAAGTCTTCGGACAGCGCTGGTTCTTCAGCTTGGAAATGGAGATGAGCACCACATCCCTAGGGTCGGATTCGACTGGCTTTCCAGCAAGGGAAATTTTACCTTCATTAGCACGTTCCAAAAAATGCAAATTAGCTTGATGCTGAATTGACTGATGTGCATAAGTTATTGTCAGCTCTAAGGATAGGGGGGAAACCCCATCCAAACTCTTGGAATCCACAGAGCCCTGCAGGCAGTAAAAGGTGACCAGGCTGACTCGGTTAGTAGGAATCTGGTTTTGTGCTCTTTCAGAGCGAGGAGGAAGCGCTGCAACAAGCCTTGGAGATGTCTCTGGCAGAGACGGTGTCCACCCAACCACAGTCCCGCAGGTAAAGCACAGTGGTGATTACCCTTAAGAAGCAAGAATTAATTGGAATCTGCGTGTGTGTAATAGTCTGGCAGGGTGAAGAGGGCTGCCCTGTCCTGCTGGGACTGCAGCGTGGTTAGGCTGCCCCCGGTTCACTGATTCTCTCTTGACACTAAAGGCCCAGCTCTCCTCTTCTTATGTCTGTTGGAGGCTCTTAGGTCTGTGGTCCACAGGCCTCTAATGGGGTATCAGCTCTGTCCCGGGGGGGGGGGGTGTTTGCATGTCACGTCACCTTCCCGTGTTTGGTGTAGTGGTTAAGTGCGCGGACTCTAATCTGGGAGAACCGGGTTTGATTCCCCACTCCTCCACTTGCAGCTGCTGGATGACCTTGGGCAAGCCGTAGTTCTGATAAGAGCTGTCCTTGAAAAAGAGCAGTTTCTGTCAAGAGCTCTCTCAGCCCCACCTACCTCACAGGGTGTCTGTTGTGCGGAGGGGAAGGGAAAGGAGTTTGTCAGCCGCTCTGAGACACCTTTGGGTAGTGAAGGGCCAGGTATAAATCCAATCTCTTCTCTTCTTCTTCCTTGCATGAGCAATCCAAGGGCCCAACTACTGATGTTACAGCGGATCCATGGTTGATTGGATCTCTTGATGTGTAATTTTTGCCTTAAAAAGCAGCCACAGGGAGCTATGAAATGGACAGGGGGTGTTATCAGTTTCCTTGATCAAACCCCCTTCTTTAAAGAACTGTTTTAGAGAGATTCTCCCCTGCAGCTGTCTCTTTTTCCCCCTCACCATCATTGGGAAGCCTCTTTTGATCACAGAAATGGGCCAGAGGTAAAGTTTACGCTGTCCTCCCCCCACACACACACACATGCCTATTGCAGCCTTGATTCTGCCCCGTCCCGGATCCTTTTTGAGGCTAAGTTATATGTCCGGGAGGCTCTGAAGACAGATCCCCAGCATGGGTGCCATTCGTCCCAGCTGTGGTGTGTGTACCCTGTATTGAGATGAATGTGCTAGGGAGCTGGGGGAGGAATCCTAATTGCACAGCATGTCTGACTCATCCAGTCTCTGTCTGCAACAGCACCCAGGAGGAGGAAGATCTGGCACTGGCTCAGGCCCTATCAGCTAGCGAGGAGGAATACCGGCGGCGGCAGCAGCAGCAGCAGGTGAGCGAACTGAGGGGGTTCCCCTTGGATTGGCCCCCGCTGATCCTGGGCACAATCTCAGAGTATTGGTGGAGGCTTTGCTATGGGCATATGGAAGCCCCTGGTATCCCTGCAAAAGGCATCCAGGGCTCAACTAATGTAACTACTGGAGCCAGATGAGAAACGGTGGTTCTGCCTCCTCTGGGTCTTCTCCCAGCAGTCCTCTGGGATGATGGAAGTTCTTCCAGGTAGGGTTTTAGCTTTGTTGAGATAAATGCCATTCTTTTTGGGAAGGTTATCAAAAACTAATTGCCTCGCACCAGCATGGGAGAGATTCTGCCTAAGCTTTTCAGTCGCCTTCACTGTGAGAAGGCCTCTTAGCCACAAGGGTGCCTTTTTAAAGTGATTAGACCAATGCACTGAGGATATGTCTCTCAATAGCTATTCCCTGTAATGGCTTGACAGGATTTTAGGAATCAAGGAATCACCTGTGAATCAGGGAACTGTGTCTACTTTAGCTATTATGAATGCAGAACTGCAGGAGCAGTAGTTCCATTGAGTTACTACGGATGGCATTAGAAGGCTGTGAGCTTGTATGTGTGGCATAAGGTTCTGTTGCTTTGTTCTAGTGGGAGGGGTGCGAATTCACTTTCATTCTGGCTGTTCTCTCCTTTCACTTGTTTCTGCTCTAGGCTCGAAGCTCAAAGCCGTCCAACTGCTGCCTCTCCTGAGTGCAAAGAGTGCCGGTCAGCATGAGAACTCCTCCTCGCCACGATGGTTCTTCTTCTATACTTCCAGGGGTCATTGTCTCCTGCTGCTCCCTCAGGGCTACTAACAACTGACCAAAGGCTGCACCTCTGCCCTCCTAGAGCATCTTTAGCCACACAGTGGTTGTCCTGTTGCACTGTGACCATGTTAAGCCTTCAGGGGCAGGGGGCTGCAGCGTTTCTGGCCCTGGATGGAGGAGGGAATGGTAACGTTGGAACAGCAGCCCCTCCACCACAGGGGGTAGGTCACAGCAGGGGAAAAGGATGGCCTGGCAGGTATCATTGGCATTGGTGGAGTTAGACCTCAGACTTTTATTGAGTTTGGGAGGTCTGAGGAGTTTGGAGGAGCCTTACTCGTGGTTGGTCTCTTTCCTTTGTGGTAGTCCTGTGGTTGGACAGCAGGTGGTGCTAAATGCTTTGACAGTGAGGGGTTCCCACTTCATTATTGGTGCTGTTGTTGTACCGATTTCCTGACACTTGCACACTTAGCCGTTCCAGCAGCAGGAGTGTTCAGATAATGGGAAGCACCATGCAGCGTGACACCCTGATTGGTCCGTGCAACCCTTTCCCTGCTGGCAGATGATGGTGTGTCCTCCCTTTACTGTGGCTGCCGGCCCATTGCCATGACTGCAGTGCTCAGCCTCTTCTTGCAAAATCTGCCAAAGATCAGCCTCGCAGTGGCTAGCTGGTAGCCTTGTAGTGGTAGGGGCAGGGGACTGTTCGCTTTCAGTAGGCGACTTCTTTACATTGCATATTGCACAGCTGGCTGGCCCCAGGTGTGGTGCCCATACCTCAATGACTGTTTGCATGCCTGGCTGCCTGCTTGTCTCTGTCTGACACATGCTTTCACAGCCCTATACCTCCAGTTCTATTGCCCTGTAGCACTGACCAGAGTCTCTCTCCCACTGCGGTCTGCAGGGGCACCTCACCATCCAGTGCTCCGTGCCTTTGCTGGACTGCTTAGGGATTGGACCAAGGAAAAGGGCATTGTAGAAAAGCTGGTGGAAGTCAATAAACTTGCACACACAAGTAGTTCTCTTTCTCATCATCTTTGCCGTTCAAGACCATCCATCCTTGACTGTGGTGGGATGGGAATACACGGGCAGGGGTTTCTCTGGCACACAAATCAGCAGTTGATATGGGGTTGTTTCCTGTAGAGTAATATTTCCCTATGTTGCTCAGATGTAACTTGACCTAGGGTGGAAGGATTTAAATCAGTGCAGTTGTCAAGTTTCTTGTTTTGGAATTTTTGGTGTGTGTTTTTTTTCCTGAATCCACCACAAATAACAGACAACAATAAAGAAAAGATGGTAGTTTGTGACTAAGTGGATCTCAAAGAAACCCATGAACTATATCTGCTTGGACATGAGAGCCAAGTTTCTGTTTGAGTCTCTTTATACATGTGCACAAATGCTAAGCAGCATCACTAGGGGTGTGCAAAAAATAAATAAATTTGGCGCGATTCATATTCTGCCAAATTGGGCAGAATCAATTTCGGCTGGCAAGAAGACTCCTGCATGTCAATTTCGGGCAGGGTAGCTGCCGGAGCCTCTCCCCAAGATACCCACCAAGTTATGTTTTCCCCACCATAGAGAACAATGGAGGCGATGGGGGCAACCTGTTTGGGGGCCCATAGAATTAGACCCCCTGGTCCAATGTTCTTGAAACTTGGTGGGTATCTTGGAGAGAGGCTCCAGTAGCTGCCCTACGAGTTTGGAGCCTCTCCCTCAAACCCCCTCCCCTCCAGCCCCCAGAATATAGCCTATGTTTTCGCCATTGATTTCAATGGCCCATAGGATATAATGGGGCTGAATTGCCGCCGAAATTCGGCGGCAAGCCAATTCAGATCAGAGACTCTGAATCGGCCCACAGGGGCCCAAATGGGCCATTTTCAGGGGTGCATTCGGTTCAGACGAACCGAATGCACATCCCTAAGCATCACTTAGAGGAAGGCTGAGGTACATTCTTAAGTGTTAAAAAGGCTTTCCAGAAGTAAAGGCTGACAGTTACTGGATGAAATATTTATTTTCCATCTCTTGCAAAAACAGTGTTGTGTCATACTTTGAAACTGAACACATTACAGAACATAAGATTATTACAGTAGATAATCCTGATATAAGACTGATTGCTCTTGAATCCTGGTGCCTTTGACCAATCAGTAAGAAGCCCACCACAAACCTTGCAAGGCAAGACATTGCCGGATTGTGACCTCATACATTACCCTATGGTTCTAACTCCGTGTGTGAGATGGATGGTTGCCATTTAGTTTTAAGAGATTATGTGTCGTTTTATACTTCACTCTCCCTTTGGGCAGTTCACTCTTTTAAAAAGAGAGAAGGAGTGATAGATTTTTTTTAAAAGTTTAATTAAAAATAAAATTCCCTCTGTTTTTTCCTGAATATAATGAATCATTGGTAGAAAAGAGGCAGGCTGAGCACGCTGCCCCCCCACACACACACACACTGCTGTGTGCTTCTGGCCCTTGGTGCCCTCGTTGGGACTGAATTGTGGACGCATTGGCTTCTCTGTGCCTTTGGTACTGGAGTAGTTGGATTAAGAAAACTCCCCGTCACTTTCGGATTACAAAGGTTGTCCCTCCAATCCACTTTAGGGGAAGGCTGAGCCTGACTCAGTGGGGTGGGGAGAAGGAGGCTGGTAGAAGAGGGAGATAGTTGAACCAAAGCATGTACTTTTGAAAGAATAATATTGCAGCAGTGTTATTCGATAATGGAGCAGGTGGGTCTAGGGATATGGCCCCAACAGCTGTCACTTGCAGCACAGTCAGAAAATGACCTTGGCCTCAGGAAGTCAGGCACAACTTGTGAACCACCAAGATTAACATTGCCATCAACCATGTGCAGGAGCCTACCAAGAATGTGGAAGACCTCCTGTTTTTAATGGCTTCCTAGGCTTGGGAAGGATAAAAACGAGTTGCCAAGTACCTAGCAGGCCACAGTATACACAGCTGGTGGGTTGCATTCTGCTTGGGAGATCACGAGTTACACAGGTCTAGCCCAAAACATACAGAGGCATTCCATGCCCGCAATGGTCTTGCCACAGATGTTTGGGAATAGGCCGGGGAATGTATAGGTGAAGGAATAGTAGGAATGCTTTGTTTACTGCTGAGGGATATATAAATTAGGCAGCTGCCACATGCAGAAGCTACTTGATGATAGTCAATCCTCCCTTAATACATTTCAGCTTGCAGCTTTCCCTCCATGGAGATTCTTGTAGTGTATGTATAGTTGATGCAAACAGTACCCTAAATGGGCTCTTTTTCTTTGAGTGAAGCTATTCACTGTGAAGTTTCGCAGCCCTGGTATAAGCTATGTGTCTTTCCTTCTAACCTACCTCACAAGGCTATTGTGAGGGGAAATGGAGGGGATGAGATCAGTGTAAGTAGCTGTGGGGGCAAAAGGCATGGTATAAATGAATTAGAGGAGGAGGAGGATTTGGGGCCAAATGCACTCAAAAGATTTACTGACTTCAGTTCTTTTGTTTGCTTATGCAGGGAATTAGTTCAGGTTCTATAAATCCATTGCTAAGTCTTTCATCTTTGGGGTGAGAGAAGCTGAAGGCTAATGGCTGAGGGGGGTGAGTCAAGTTCTCAAATCAAATCTACAAAGGTCTTAGACAAGCTGCCATTCTGCATCTTAAAAATGGAGGCAATAGGACTGACCCATCGTACAGGGCAGTTGTAGGAATTTAGATAATATAGGTGAAGTACTTTGTACATTTCAAATGTGCCACATGTAGTATATATGATGGCAGAAAAAGTGTACTTTAGGACTGAGGTTCTTTATGAAAGTGACTGGGGGGGGGCCTTCACTGACTGCTGGTCCTCTCTGCTGAAGGCTTGTCTGGTGCCCATTTACTAACAGCCTGCAAGCCATTTCATAAATTACAGTTTTAGGTAATATTCGTACAGATAATTTTAAAAAGGTAAAGGTTCCCTTGCTCAAAAGCCAGTCGAATCCGACTCTAGGGTTGCGGTGCTCATCTCCGTTTCAAAGCCGAAGAGCCAGCGCTGTCCAAAGACGTTTCCGTGGTCACGTGGCCAGCATGACTAAACACCAAGGTGCACGGAACGCTGTTACCTTCCCACTGAAGTGGTACCTATTTATCTACTTGCAATGTCTTGCTTTCGAACTGCTAGGTTGGCAGTTAATTTAGGTACACATTTAAAAATGTAGTATACATCATTTAAATTTTTTTTTTTTAAATGCAGCTGTGATCGCAATGGGACATGTGACTCATTGGTAGAGCATTGGATTTGCACGCCACAAGTCCCAGGCTCAATCCCCAGTGTCTCCAGAACAGGTTGGAGGCCCTGTGGAAGAGGCTGGCACCTTGGAGAGCGGCTGCCAGTCTGAGTAGACGAGACTGCCCTTTATAGATCAAGGGCCTCGCTCAGTATAGGACAGCCTTGTGTTCATGAGGTGCATTTCATGTTGAGTGTCCAAGCGTCATGTGCTCTGTAGCAGTAGTGGAGACCCATATCTTTGGGCTGACTACCATGAAGTGGTCTATGGGGGTATATGAGGGGCAAGAGGTATAGGCCCCTGAAAGAAGGGGAACTCAGGACAGTAAAGGTACTGGCTGTGATATGAATACACTACAAGACTTCAGCAAGGTTTCCAGCCGTCCTAAGTTTTGCTCGGGCATTCTAGCATCCACTTGTCACATCCATTGTGCTTGCTGTGTTGGACCCCTGTATTGCTGTGACCTAAAAGGCAGGCAAGGAGCGCTGTGCTGCCTCAAAGACCAACAGCCTTTTCAGAAGCAAAGCTGAATTTATCTTTCAGCCCTTCTTCCTTAAGCACAAATTATTTGGATTCTGTTTCGAAGGTGATTGGAAGCCATGTGAGATGAAGAAATTTGTTTATTTATCTTTGAATTTATATCCCGCCCTACCCCGAAGGCTCAGGGCGGCTAACAGGAGACACAGAGTGCCAAGATTAAAACAAATAAAAACAAACATAGCATAAAACAATAAAATACAATAACAAAATATCAGTGCTCCATTTGTCACAAGATGGGGTAGATCTTAATCCCAACGGTAACATTCCCATAGTCTGCCATTCCTCCTCCTGCCAGGGTCACCTCACACCCCAAAGGGACCAGGTAGTGGTGGCGGCGGCTCCTACTCAAAAGCCTGGCGGAAGAGCTCCGTCTTGCAGGCCCTGTGGAACTGAGAAAGATCCCGCAGGGCCCGGATCTCCTCCGGGAGCTCCTTCCACTAAGTAGGAGCCGCCACCAAAAATGCCCTGGCTCTGGTCACTGCAAATTCAATGTCCCTGGGGCCTGGAATTTCCAGGAGATGATGACTCCCCGAACATATGGGGAAAGTCGGTCCCTCAGGTAGGCTGGACCGTGGCCATAAAGGGCTTTAAAGGTAGGAACCAGCACTTTGAAGCGAATCCGGTATGCTACTGGCAGCCAGTGCAGCGCTTTCAGCAAAGGCTGAATGTGGTCCCTCCTAGAGAGACCCATCAACAGTCTGGCTGCAGCATT